CTGGCTTGCTTTAGGCTGTCCTTGCCGCCCACCCGCGCGAGCGTGTGTTCGGGGTGCCGACCTGACTGATTGCCAATCTGGTGTGATAGACACGCTTGAGCGCCACTGCTTGCATTTCCTTCGTGCGGGCCGATTCTGCGCTTCACAATTGGGACGGTCGAGTGAGAAATTTAGTGCTTTGCTCAACACGGTCTTGGAACTGCCCTCTGCGGATGTGGACCGCGTGCTGAGTGAGATCACTAGCTCTTTGCATGCCGAGCTGGACCCCTACACTAGGCCTCGAACCCAACCTGCTAGCCCCTCTTGTACGCCTCCAGCAGCCCCTTCTCAGGACGCCGCCGCGGCACAGGTGGGCGCTTGCCAATTTCCTATTGGGAACCCTGCAAAATCGGGACTCGGACCTCCTTTATTAGGCCCCATAGTCAATTCTAATAGAAATGTATTGCGGGCCCCACTAGAGAGGCATTCCGGGCCCAAAGTGGGCGCCTCTCCTGAGTTTTCGGGTTCCTTGGGGGTTTGCTCTTTAGGTTCGGGGCTTAGCTGCAAAAAGATTGTTGCCGATCGTATCAAGTGGTCTCTGCCACCGACGTTCGACCCGCAACCTTTCTTGACTGATGCCACCACTCGACGCGTGTACCAGGACCCTAGTGCCCTTAAGCTGCCCGAAGATGCTTGGCCTCGACTTCCCCGTGCAAAGGTGCACTGCTCGCGCGGGGAGCTTCTCCGCCTCGCTTCAAAATGGGACAGCTTCAAGGCTCTCCGACTGGTACCATGTAGTGAGGTTTCCTTTCATGAAACGGTCGGTTGTTTCGGGGTACCCAAAGATGAGTCGTTTGATAGGTTCATTTTAAATCCAGTTGTTGCCAATTCTAGGACCCACGGGCTGAGCAAGTTTACGAAACTTTTAGCCCCAGGCTGCCTTCTTGCATTGGCCCATCTGCCTTCTCATGAGCATATCGTGCGATTTTGTTGCGACGACCTTAGCGAGATGTATTATACATTCCTCGTGACTCCGGCTCGAGCTCAGAGGAACTGTTTGGGAATGGTTTTCGCTCCTTCGGAAATTCAAAACTTCAGTGTTTTCAACCCTAAGGTTCATAATGTCCCTTGCTATTTAGCTCTTGCTACCCTAGCGATGGGGGACTGCCACGCAGTAGAGTTTGCTCAGCAATCACATTTTAATGTCCTAGGGTCCCTTGGAGGATGTATGCGACCTCACGAGTTCGTGGCGTACCGTCGCCCCGTTCCGCGCACTTCCTGCCTGGAATTTCTTTCGATAGACGATCACCTTACTGCTCAGATCTGCTCTCGTTTGCAACACAAGACTTCGGCGAGGCTTCGGGATACCATCATTTTCGAGGGCGCTGATCGTGCATATCCGGCGGTTGGCCTCGTGCAGCATCCAAAGAAGAGACAGCGCAACGTCACCAAGGGGACGTTCCTCGGCGCTGACGTCGACGGCGTGGTTGGATTGATATCCGCCCCGCGGCACCGCGTTGGCGTGCTGATGCGCATCACACTCTTGGTCGTTCAACGCGCCTGCGCTTCCTCTGGCTTGCTTTCGTCGCTTTTGGGCCTGTGGGTCCACGTCTTACTTTTTCGTCGACCCGCTCTGGCCGTGCTGCAAAGTGTCTTTGAGGATGCGCGACGCACCCCTCGCACCGCGGTCTACAGGTTGCAGCGCTCTTCCCTGAATGAGCTGTTGGCTCTTTGCGCGTTGGCCCCGCTTTTGCAGGCCGACCTTCGTGTGGACCACCCTGGGATGCTCTTCGCTATGGACGCGTCCCCTTCGGGCGCGGGCCTTTGCGCCGCTGAACTGCCTCCGGCCGTGCTCAAAGAACTCTGGCGTCATGGCGAACAAAAGGGCTTTTACACTAAGCTTTTGGAGCCTGCTGGGGCACTCCTTGCTGAGCTTGACTTGCATGATGACCCAGGCGGTTTCTTTGCTGAGAGTGTTGGCGACGCCACGGTTTCCGGCTTTGCTTTTGGCACCGAGCCGTTACCTTTGCGACCTGCGCTTGCGGCTCCTGGCTGTTTTGTGCACCTTTTCGCTCGCGACCCTTCTTGGGCCTCTGCGCACTGCGACTTGGGGCTTGTGCCCTGCCCTTCGCCTGGTCTTGACCTTGCCTCGCTTCGCCTTGAGGACCTTGCGTCTCCGACTGTGTTCCACCAGCTGCGGGCGTTGTTGACTTCCGGTGCCGTCTTTGACCTCCACGTGTCCGCTCCGGTGCTTTCTTTTGCCTCACGCGGGCCTTTCGCGTCTCGTACTCCGAGGTCGCCTTCAGCCTCTCACCTGTGCCGCGGCTCCTTGCGCTCGCATGACCGCCTCGCGCGCCGTTTGTGCTTTCTGCTTTGCCTCGCCGTCTCGTCTGGGGTCTTTGTCAGCGTGACCCAGCCTGCTTCTAGCATGCTCTTCAGGCTTCACTGCTTTCGCGGGCTCATCTCTCTGGGAGCCATGCTCACCAAGGTCTTTTGCTGTGCGTTTGGGGCGCCTTTCAAAAAGCCTTTGCTCGTTCTTCACAACAAACCGTGGCTTTTGCCTTTGAACTCCTCCTCAAACGCCTGCGGCTGTCCTCCAGGCACTGTTCACTTTCCTGTTGGCGGGACTTTCTCTCAGTCGAGTGTCGAGGCCTTCGACCGCGCCTGCTGCCCCTCGTCTTCGGCCGTCTTTGGCTGCACCCCTCGCCCTGGGCAGTCGGTTTCTGAGTTTTGTGCCGCCTACCCCCGGTCTTTCTCTTACCGTGCGGCGGCCGGCAGCGCTTTGGCTGCGTCAGGCTTTGTGGCTCCTGTCCCGGTCTCTGCTTCGTCAAAGGCTCTTTCCCAGCTAGGGTTTAGCGGTTTAGGCCCTGACCCCCCTAGGGTTGAAGCCTCGGAGTTTGAGCC